GACGGGGAGCACTTCTGAGTTCGATTTATCGCGTCCAGACTAGACGCGATAAATCGAACCCAGAAGTTCGATTGCCTGCCGCCGAACCAGCGCGGTAAGTATAGACAAGCCCTAAGATTTCTAAAGGGGGCTGCACCTGCATTCAATAATTTTAGGGGTCCGCAAATGAAAAAAGGGGTGAAAACTGTTGCTTTAGAAGCATTATGTCTCCCCGCTGCATTAGCAGCACAAACACAGCTCTGCCCAGCACACAAAATGTGAGACCATTTCCCCCCCCCTCCTTTTACAAGCAAATCTCCAGCCATCCAGCAAAGTGGCAGAGATTGCTCACAACAGCCTCATCCATAAAAACTACAGGCACAACTTCCAAAAGCGCACACACAGCACCCCCATCTATTTTCCATAAGACAAAGCCTGAGAGGAGCACGGCATTTACTGGTGCAAATCATTTTTCTCCATTATTCACCAGCTCTGGGCCAGGCTGTTAGCTCCCACCCAGTGCTCTTTCCTCATCTCTCTTCTTTAATGAGACAACCTGGCAACATTTTATTTATATCCTTTTTATAAAGCTGGATTGGACTTGCCATGCGCACTGCCATTTACAGATACCAACCCTTCAACAAAACTCAACCTGGCCGGCCTCTTTCTCCCAGCCCCTCCCAGAAATGGCTGTGAGCAGTTTGCCACCTCCTAGCCCTCAACACAAGTTTCCAACAACAATGGGGTTTTTGAAAGAAATTAACTCTATAGCTCTCTCCCCTTCCCTCCTCTGCCCAGAGGGAAACATATTCCCTGCTTCCTACCTGGTGCAGTGGCAAGGGCTGTGCGTGTGCCGAAAAGTGATATTAATGGTTTATTACAGGGAAATGAGAGGCTTTGCATGCCTCATTGCACTCGAAGCATCCGATGCCGCATGCTAAACGGGGATGGTGGATGTGGACCGACAAATATTTATTATGATTAAGGGAAAAGCCAAATAGTGCCATTTACGCTCCAAGCTAAATTAGCACCACGCGGCAAAGCTGATTCCCCACCATCATTCAGGATTAACCGTGATTATGCGCCTGACTCCATCATCATAGAAAGCCTCCCAAATAATAAAACATGGACTTACAAACTAAACCCCCCTCAGACTGGTGCTGTGTCTGATGAAATGTACTCCATGCCCCTTGCAAAACCAGACAACCCTCTCTGCCCAATGACACGATGATTGAACAGGCGGGGCTCGTAACAACTCACGTGACAATGCGCTTGGCACCACATGAAACAGAACCGGGTTTCAGGCAGAGACGGGAAGACTGATCATAAAGCCTCCGAGTGCTTTCCTTATGCAAGTCGCCCCACCGTTTACATTCCTGAACGGCAGCTATGGATGTACTGAGTGAAGTGCAGAAGGGACAGGCACTGCGCATGCTTCCCCTACGCATCTCTAGGACCCCAACCTGCATTCCCTCAGCTTTTCCAGTCCCATGCTCCAATGCAGCTGATTTGCGGCTCTTCCTGCCCCAGTGATTGTGAGCAACCAGATCCCTGCTATTTCAGTCTCAAACAGGGACTGCCCGCTCCATGGCAATTCTGTGATGGGAGCAGGCGTGAAATAGGACGAGACTAGAGATTCTTCCACTTGGGACATAGGACACTTTCGCTGCAGTCATTGCCACAGCAACCGCCTGATAGGACTGACTCCCACTGCAGGCTCTGATGCAGAACCCCGCTTCCCGGTGGGGTCCACGTTGGACCGAACTCCCCAGCAGCTGGGTCGAGGAAGTCTTCAAGAAGCAGAGATCCTGTTTCCATGATAGAAAAGCAAAGCATAGGAAAGCAGGATCGAAATATCACCCCCTGGGATTTAACTTCCCTCAATTTTTATTCCTTATGACGCCGACATGAAAACAGGGTCATTACTGCCTAGTAATCCCACGTAACCCAGCTCCCTCTTGCTCCAAACGCGTCACAGTTCTTCTGTTTGAAACTGCAGCCTTCTCCGCATCAGCCAACGGTGCAGACACATGCAGATCAGCCTTCTCTGCTAAGTGATTGAAGCACAGGAGCCAGGAGATCTGGCTTTCTGCTTCAGACTCTGCCCCAGACTTTCCTATGAACAAATCAGCATTGTGCCTCGTTTCCCCATCTGCAAACTGCAGATGGGATTTACCAGCGTAACGTGTGGGCTGTGAAGATTTATTCGTTAATGGTTGCAAAGGGCTTTGAGATCTCGGGATGGAAAGCACTAGGGAAGGCAAAGGATTATCATTATAGCAGTCAACAGACAGAGCCTGCTAAGGAACAAAAGGAGCTCTTTGCAACAGGATGTCCCCATGCGTCAAAGCAGAAAGCAACCACCCAGGAACTGAAATACCAGAGTATGACACAAGCACCGAGCTGCCTTAAATAGAAGGGTTTTCAGAGCTCTCTGGGCAGCTTCAGCTGCTCTGTAAGACTAAGCAACATGTGGGTGTCCCTATTTACAAACAAAAGCATGCTGTTACTCTAAAAATACAGCCTGGCAGATCTCTTGTATTCGGCTACTAATACAACTCACACTAATAGAACCAGCCACCTCCACTCGCCCTGCATTTGGCAGTTCAGCCAGGTGTGTACTGGCTGCAGTGCACGCTTAACCCCAGGCTCTCACCTCGGTTTTAGCCCAATCCCACTACTGTACACACACACACACACACACACACACACTAAAACCCCTTACCTGAGCTCAGTTGGGGGTATAGCTTAGAGCCGGACAGGACAGGCTCTGACCTGTCTACTTTGCAACATGATGCAGTTGAAGATAGATTGCAGAGCTTCAGTTTTGACAGACCTCCAATGCCCTCCCAGGCCTGTAATTTCCCACTCTTCCACCTACTTACTTCCCAATCACCTCCTATATACTGGAAGCTTGCATGCAAGAGACCAAGGGGCTGTGGGGTACAGAGAGACAGACAGAGAGGCTGTTTTGGGAATGATATCTGCCAATTATAACAAACGCTCAACCTACTGCAGATAGGTCCTTCATGGGCATATGGAAGGACATGCAGGATGGAAGTATCATAGGCTTTCCTAATGACTCACTCCTAAGAGCCTGGCTACTTCCATGACATTAACTGGAGCCAATCGGAAAAGAGATTCACTGAAGTTTTTACTTCTCCCAATTTCACAAGCACCCCTAGAGTTAATTAAGTTAGGGTCAATCAGAGGAGTAAATCACAGTGATTTCCATGCAACTTAATTGTATGATTAAGGACACCAGAACAATAATTAATAGAAGTCTCCCAAGAAAGCTGGTTCTCTAGAACTCCTAGGTGTTGCCAACTCCTGACATGTTATTGCAAGTCTGTCTGTAAAGGCCCAGCTCCTGGAGTCATGTGATTAGACGAGAATCTACACCTTCATTAATAAAAGGTAAGTTTTTAGATCTCATGATTGCAGAGAGAAGCTGGATAATGTGAATCATAAAGGCTCAAAACCAGAAGGCAAATAAAAAGAAACTCAAAAGTATTAAAAAATGCATAACTTGGGGTGGGGGAGAAGGGCCAACACCTGATTTTTGAATGCTTGAGGTTCCCAATATGGTTTCTTTCCAATTTCTGATCCCAAGATCTTTGAGACCAGCAGCTGATTTTTTTTTAAAAGGGGGCAGAGGTTTGGCCTTATTTGCCACAGTTTTTGGGATGGTGGGGGTTCAATCATTGTTAATTAATATGGTTTATTATTCCCCCTCACTGAAGTCAAACTAGAACTGGAGTTTTGCCATGGATTTCAAACAGCACGCTTTAGCTGCTGATTCTTTAAATTCCCATGATGAGATGTCTTTGCATACACAAAGAGCGACTCAGTCTATATTTAGCTATTGCATATGGTGAAGTTCAACACAGCGTATTCAACACGAGGCACACATTTGTTACATTGCCAGCAAGGAGATCTCCCATGCACACAGTGGCCACTGCAGCGCACACTCAGCGAAGAAACAAGGGAGTCCAGTGGGACTTGGCGTCAACAGCTGGGATATTATTAGCCTTTTTGTGGTCTTGTCTGCTGCAGAAAGCACCACAGAACTATAATTCTGCAAAATTAATATTCAAATGGGCAGTCAGGGCTCCCATGCAGCCAGCATTTTTAATAAGGAAAAATATCAATCACAGTAATCTATACTTTAAAAAAAAAGTTTCATGATTTACAAGTTGAGATCAACTCACAGGAATGCACTCAAATCAAAAGTCATACTGTTATTACAGTAACACACCTTCTTCAGGCTAAAAGACTATTGGTTTTTAAAAGGAAAGAACAAGACACACTGATTAAGCCAAAAAAGGGAAAGAGGGCAGAGCTGAGGGCCTGAAGTTAGGCTTCTAAATCCACATCCAAGCACCCAAATAGAAGAGACCTAATTTAATAAAGGGGTTGTGCATGCTCCAATCCCATGGGTGTCATGAGAGTTGCAGGTGCTCAGCACCCGTAAGCCAAGTCAGTTCAATTTGGGAGTCTGTGTGTTTAGAAGCCTACCATTAAGCATGCAGCTCTGGAAATGTAGATCTTTATTATTCTTAATATTTATTATACTAATGTACATCAGGGGAAGAGAGAGAAAAATGAAAAGTCAACTCTGTTATGGGTTGAAAAAGACAAAAGATTTTCACCTTCTTGATGTCCGACTTTTGGCTGAGTTTCCCAGATGGTGGCAGAGTGGCGACTGTAAAATTGTTTGGATCTTCACAGTCACGGATTTTGGATTCCTTTATCAGCGAGTCAAGTTTCTTCTTTGCTATATTTTCTACTCGCTTCCGATTGGTGGAAGCCTATCAATGAAATACGGTCATTAAATGAGGGCACAGTGGTGTGAAATCTTCATTTCTCCAACAAGAGGCAACACAAACTAAAACAGTACATTAAGGGGGAAAAATAAGAAGAAAATGAGGCAAAAGAAATGGACTGAGGCTTCACTCTAATGGACTATTATTAACTACTGCTCCCCATGCTAATAGTCCAGCCGCCTCTTAGTTTGTACACTGTGAAATACAGTAACGTTGTCAGTTATCTGCAATTATAAGAGTGCCCAGTGTTGGGCTTCACAGCAGATATGTAGGCATGTGAAGCCCTAACCTGAAGCCACAATGGAATGAAAGTTAAACATTTTGCAAAATAAATAAATAAATAAATAAATAAAAACAACTTCTGGTTGAATGGAACCAAAATCGCTTGTCAGCAAGGCTGTTCATGTGGCATGGGCTTTGTTACCAAGCCATTGATGTGCTACCTGGGAACAGTTGGTATTGAGGTGATTCCTTGGAGACCTGACTAGTGCAGGCTCCATTCTGTAGTATTCATTTCCAAAAAGTCTGATCTATTTCACAACAGTGACTGCGCTTTGCCATTCTCAAGGCGGTTCAAGTTTTGCACACCCACAAAGGCTGAATAAAACATGGCATTTCTATTGCTCATCAAGTCTGAGGGAATATAAAGAGCTCAAAACCATCAACTATTTGCTATGGAAGAGCTTGTGTCTGCAGCCACAGTGCCTGCAGGATTCAGTTGGAATGGGAGCAGCTGGAGAATCAGGCCTTCCACAGTTAAAAGGCAGCATTTATTGCATGTTCCTGCTCCCTTTTTCCATTCAGGCTGTTGAACGACTGAGGTGAGGAGCGGTGTGGGGGAACAGAGATGGAAACACGGTTCTCTTTTCTAGCCATGCAGTTTACATGGAGCAACTCTCAACTTCAGATCTTTGGAAGGTTTAAAAAACAACAAACAAACAAACAACAACCCACCACCCTCACAGATTGCGTTTGCTTAACGGGCCTTAGAATGTCCTGATTAATTCCATCAGGAAACAAGCTGCCGTTTCCCATGCTTTCCAAAGCCTCACTCTAACGTGAGCTGGGTCTAGAAAATCTGGAATCCCAGATGCTGGCACAAGTCAGAGTAAAACAAATTGTTAGTTAATGAAGACAAAGATGTAAGCAAAGCAGTGCCTACAGGGGCTTTATGGAAAGTAATGTGCCCAGCTCTAAGATGTAGCAGGGAAAGTCTCTTTATAAAGAAGAATGTCTCTCTTACTAGCTTCCAGCTTTCTCTGCCTGTTTGAAGAAGGAAAACTTCCTTCTTTTAGACAGACGCTCACGTGAGAGCTGTGTCAAAGAGGGCTTAAGAAAAGCTACCAATGGGAGAGTCACAAAAGTTTGCTTTTGCCCAAGCATCCAGAAACGGGAGTGTTTACTTGAACTGTCTAATAAAGGAGGCTGGAAAGCCTGTGAGAACAGGCTCTTGAAACACTTCCTGGTTCCAGCAGGGATGTGGAACCGGCTCCCTTGTTGCTTTCTGATACGGGACAAAGTCCAGGGAACGAAGACAAAGGCAGGTGGAAGATATGAGGGAGAAGAACAACAAGCTACATGAACCTGGCCTATGGCAGTAAAAAGGTTCAGTTCAGTTTGGGTTGAAATCTGCAGACGTGTGTATCTCTAGCTGCTCCGTATACACAACCATAAAGGCAGGGGGATCAGATTGTCTAGTTCATGTGAATGTGGGACTTGTAGTACAATTTGGTTTGCTTTTCACCTCAATACTCTCCAACAATTTTTTTCTTCCCTGCTCCACATGTTCATTCCTTGGTAACAGGACTGATCCCACAATGTAAAGCCCGGCAGGCTAACCTCTACCACCACCCTAAGTGTACAGTACCTTCCACTTTGAATGGATGTAATGCCAGGCAGAGAGAGAGACAAAAACCATAGGAGCAAAGTGTCAAAACATTGCAGATCTCAAGATTAAGGGGAAAAAATTAAAATGTGCTACAGTAGAAATATAACCAAACAAAACCAATTCTCCTCCTTAAGATGGATTTCAAGGTCCTCCCCCTCTTCCATGCTAGCACAGCTCTAAGGAGAAGTTTCTCTTCTAGTCCTAAAACAAAACAATTGCACTCATAATAGGAGAGAAGGAAATAGTCTAAAGGACAAAAATAAAGGGCCGCAAATGTGACACACGTCCAAGGCAATTTTGTTTAATGTTATTAAAGGTTTCTGCTGTCCCTTTTATATTAAGTTTCCATAAGCTGCAATGCCATCCTCACTGCACGCCAGAAGATTAAGTGTCAGAAGAATTTTACTTCTAAAAAGGGACGAATGAATAAGGTGTTTTCAGGCTGAAGTAAGCAGAAACGAACAGCTTATTTTCCTTTTAACACTTTTGTACAGTTAAAGCCAACTAAGCACAGCATTCAGCATGTCAAAAAGTGCTCAATAAAAGGACCATTGAAGCTGGGGAAATTATTCTCCAGAGAAGGCCAGTTTGAGATGGGATGGGAAGCATTGAAAGGGGGCTCAATTTTTTGGAAGAATACTCCACCATGCAACCCACCAAGGTAGCAAACAACCTGCAAGGTGACATTGTTATCACACACACACACACACACACACACACGTGTTAGAAACAAAAGCAACTGGACTGCTGTTACCCACTGTCATTTACCATTGATTAAGCAGCTGCAGTTCTTTTTTGCAGTCTATTCTCTGACACATGGAGTGTCAAGTTTAAGAGTTACAATGAATTTTTATATAGATAGATAGATAGATAGATAGATAGATAGATAGATAGACAGACACATACATAGGTATGGCTCTCTCCCACCCCCTCCATAGGGTATCTTTGTTACATTTAATATATACACCCCAATACACGTAATGTATATTTATGGATTGATTTTTCAGAGGTTCTCACATTTGCAGCTCTCAAAAGACTTCAATGGGAGATTAAGTTGTGCAGCATTTCTGAAAATCAGATCATAGACATGCATTGTACGTCTCTCTCTCTCTCACATACACACGGAGACCCCACCCTCGTGGGCCTGATCTGCAGAACAACTGAGCGCCCCCAACTCCATATGAAGGTGACTGGAGCTGTAAGTGTTCAGCACCTCTGCAGGGAAGAAAGAAAAATAAACCAGGTCTGTCCCTATCTGGAACATTTGATACTAGAGCTGGTCAGAACGTTTTTGACAAAATAAAATTTCCCCAAAATGTGCAGTTTTGTCAAAGCCAAACCATTTTGTTTGGCTGCAGACTGTGTCACAATGTTTTTGACAAAGAGTGAGACTCTTAACTCTATAGCATGGACGAGCCAACTTCAAGTTCCTGCTCTGCCTGAGTCAGAGTCATCTGGGATGAACAACTCTGTTTTCAGTCAGACATAGGAGGGACGTGAACCGGAGTTTCCCACATGCCAGGCCAGGCCAGTGCCCTCACAATGAGGCCACCCACCCACTCACTGAGGTACTCCGCCTGAACTGAAAACCTCAGGTTTTGATACTAAGACAGACATTTAGACAATTCCATTTTTGTGAAAAATGTTTGAAAGTTTAGTTTTCCTCCCAAATTCCAATGCAGATCGACCATATTTTGAAGCCTTGAAAAGTTGCCATGAAACAGATTTGTCACCCTCAGGTCAGCTCTCTCTCTCTCTCTCTCTCTCTCTCACACACACACACACACACACACT